TTAAAATGCATCTCCACATGCGTCTCGATTGACCACTTGTGATCGGATCTTACTTCCCCGCTTTATATGCAAATAAAAAAGGGAATGCGTTTTTGTTTTTAGCCAATCGACAGACGGGTGCGTTGTTAATGTGCTTGTGTGTGTTTCAAGTGGCAACCTCCGAGGCTGAAAAATGAAGCTAACACGGAGGTACCAAAACTGCAGTTCTTTGAATGGCCACTTGAGGCTGGCTCCAACAGCGAGTCACTCCCCATAGACCCTCGTGTTAAAATGTCCAACTTCACAGCAGAAATAAACATGTTTACAGCCTGGTACAAAAAACAGTTTTGGTCTCTACGGCTAATTTCCTCCTTCATGAACACTGTACTGTAATTTAACTCGATTAAATTGTATTAAGGCTAAAAGTTCTGCATAATTGAGGGCGTGCCGCTTTGAGTGACAGACTGGTGAGAGTATGTTTACCACAAGCCGGCATGCACGGAAGTCTCAGCTCGACACGGGCCCCTCCTCTTTGCCCATTTTTGGATTAGGCGGGAGTTCAGCAGGAGTCAGGTCCTGGCAAGATGGCGACAGTGAAGCAGCCCACTCTGAGCTTCAAAAAACAGCTCCTTAGAAACCTATGGGTGAGGTCACGGAGGCAACGTCCATGTTTATTTACAGGCTATGCTGTGTGTGAGAGCGAGCGAGTGAGAGAGAGTGGGGCACGGAGGGGTTATCTGTATATGAAGCAGGGAAGTGAGATCCGATCACAAGTGGTCAATCGAGACGCATGTGGAGACGCATTTTAAAGTCAGGTGTGAACTGACGAATGAGAGCCGTCCACTTGTGATCGGATCCCTGAAGTTAACATTACTACTGACCGATTAACATTATTTTCATCGTCATCGCGATACGGATGCATGCAGGGTTTAGACCAGTAGACCAGTGAGGAGTTAACTTTTTACCACAGCTGACGACAACAAACCACGGTCGTAGCTCTGTGCCATCACAACCTTTCCGAGTAAAAAAAAGCTATCGGTGTCCCTCATCACACCACCCGTTCGACAAGATATAAACACGAAGAAAAGCTGCATTTTCAACATCTCCATCCACCGCGGTTTGTTTTACACAAGCAAAACTGTGTATCCACATTTCAATATTTGTTTATTTATCATAGTCATCGCAAATTTTCCTCATACCGTGCAGGCCTAATGTTTGATATTGCCTGTGTCTCTTCATTGTGCATCAAATGTAGCTGCTGATCTTCAGCAATTCAATTCAACATTTCACACTCCCACTGGTGTGGTGATCTCATCCCTGTAACGCCTGCAGCCCCCGGCTATGTGTCTGACTGACAGCAGACCATGTGACGATCCTCCGGTCGAGACGAGGCGCGGACAGCAAACAAAACGGAAGCAGATCACGGAGGGGCGGGGTCCAGCAGAGTCAAAGAAAGGGACAGCTCAGCCTTGTTCCCACACACACAGCTGTTCCTCCAGCTCATTTCTAACCAGAACCACATCAGTGAGGCCAAGTTGAGCCAGGACCGCCTCCATGCCAAGTCGCCCAGCTCTGCACACAAACCTACAGTCTGCAGGCAGCATGCAGGCACGGACCGGCTTGGCACAACCCGTTAATTCAATGACAATACTCCCGAGGATTAACTCAGAACCTGCTTCCCCTGCTGCTCACATCTGACCCCAGCACGACAGCATGAAGCCGTGTTTTCTACAAAATGCTGCACAGAAAACCCACGACTTATGTTCTCTAACAAATTATAGCCTTTAACCAAAGGGTCCTGACTTCTTAGAGATCAAGCTGAGATGATTAACTAATTAGTCGATCAACAGATCAATCAGAAAGATTTTGATAAATGATTAATGGTTTAACAGGACATTGAACAAATTCTGAACTGTTGGTCAAACAAAACAAAACAAAAGACATTTGAAGACGTCGTCTTGGGCTTTAGGAAGTTGTGATTTTCTGCCTTTTTACAGACTAACAGTTACAGTTCATTCATTAATCAAGAAAATAATCAGCAGGTTTATCAATAATGAAAATAAGTGTAAGTTGCAGCTGTGATTGAAAGTATAAAAAATAAAAATAGAAATAAAGAATAAGCAAAAACTGAGACTGTATCCCTAAAGTAAATTAATTATTATTCTTTTCATTCTAGTGTCTTTATGCTTTGTTTGCATTTTCCTTTTTAAAAAGACGCAGTCAGCCTGGTTTATTTGCACAAACAGGTACTTTCTTTTTCTTTTCTTTTTTTATTTGCACCACAGAGGAATAATCCAACTGACCCAGGACGACCTTCACTCTTCAAATTTTATCTTCTGTTGTAATTTTCTATTTAGAAAAGCACAAGCAGATACGTGAACCAACCAGAGCAGAGCCGACAGGCTGGGAGTGAGTTCACGTTCTGCATTGACATATTTCATGTTTCCATGAAATTCCACTTGCTCGGCAGGATCTGAAGCCGGAGGTGGGGGGTGGTTTCTGCCTCCCTGCCCCGCCTCCCGGTGGATCCTGCTATAACACTGCTGCTTGTCAGGGACTCCCAAACTCCCCCACGTGGATTTCTATCAGCCAACAGACGACTAACTGTTAAGACTTCACCTCATCTGATGAAACATTTAGTGGTTAGAAATAATTCAGTGTTGATTGTGTCGGTCCAACACTCCCCGAGAGCATGAAAAAAAATGTACGAGGTAATTATTCTGCTTTCCCAACGTGTGCTGGCAGATTCACAAAAGCATTCTTAACCGATGCTTGAGGTTTGACAAAAGTCATGAGAAGTTTCACAGCTTCACAGCCATCGAATGTGCTTTTAATTAACCGCCATGAAATGTTCCCATAATTATGCAAAACCAAAAAAAATAGTAAATTTCAGCACATTTGTGGGATTTTTACGAAATGTCCTCATTTTACAGCAATGCACTTTTTAATGACCTGACGCAGTATTTTATATTCAATACTGTCACTTCATGTCATGTGATTCGACAGGACATTTTTGTGTCAAACATACTGATAATTATCACCCAACTCTGCAGCTCTATGAAGCTTTTCAGCCTTGAAAGTTTCTTGGCTTCTTGGTTTTGATCAGACTGTTCACAATTTATTTTCCATTTTCATAGAAGCAACTTGTCTGTTTATTTGCACCTTACACTAACTTCAAGCTGATGAATTTAGCAATTTAGGAGCTAAAGAGACAGATGTTGTCTCAGGAGTTGGAGGAGAACAAAATCAGAGTTAAAAGACGAGTGAATAATGGACTTAAATTCATCAGATGGACACAAACACAATTACAATATGATATGTGGCTCTGTGTCTGCTGGACACATGGTCTGCCCCATAGAGGACGTCCTGTTCTACTGTCCAATAAAAACATGTCTCCAACTTTCCTTCAGACAAACTGGCAGCAACAAATATTACATTTAAACTCTAAGACCAAATGTTATCTTCCAGATGGAGAAATATTATATATGAAAATGATACACAGACATCAGAGTCAGCGGTAAATTACCAAAGGGTTTGCCAAGTTAATATATCTCCATCATTACTGCCCCAACTGAGAAAATAGCAAAACTTAATAAAAGTGACATAACAGCAGTCCTAAGATTCAATCCTTGATAAACCGGGCAGAGTGAGAACGCTGCTGGTTTATTCCTGCCCAGAAATAAATGCCTGATGGCGTTTCACATGAACACAAGTACAGACAAGAAACACAGAAATGCAGAAACATCAGAACGCAGAAGGGCCTGCGATCAACGGTACCTCAGGACCGAGGTTCTGTTAGTGTTTCTGAGTTTTTCTGCCCCCTACTGGTAAAAAAGAAAACACTCGATGCAGCTTTAAATCTGTTAAAACTTGTAAAAGGAGAATGATACGTAAAGTTTTATAAACAATATGTGAGTCAGTTTTTAGAGCATTTTGATAATAGTACAAGATGAATGTGCAGATTTTCATACAGCAAGTTAACGTTACCATAGATACTGGTGAGTTTAATCTTGACAGAATTGATGGTTATAATTATTCACTATGTTCTAGTTTTTGTAATGAAGTTGACTTGAGCCAGTATAAAAAAAAAAAACAACCACCAAGAACTGACACCAAAACATAGTATAGCACAACACTGAAGTTAGTTTCTAATTCAATACTTCAGGGGAAAGCCAAGGGAAACTTAAATGACAGAAGGGGTGACTGATTCTCCATTTTTTGATCCACTTATAGTTGTGAAAGAGTTTTGACATCCTAGTTAAAGCTTTAATGCTGTTTAACATTTAAAAATCAATTTTACAGCATTTTTCCCCATCACTACTGGACCAGGTCTAGATCAAAAACCACCTTGTAAAAGCTGTAGGACTAGACTAAGCAAGGGAAGATAAAGATTGTTTGAAACAACTTCACATTAATTTATTTATTGAAACACAAAAGGACAATTTCAGTTTGTTTCCCCCCCATATAGACCACATTGGACCAGGTCTAAAATCAAAGACCACTATACTTAGACTTGTCAGGACTAGATTTCAGATTTAGTTTCAGATTCATGACCTCTTTATTCTTATTGTGAAAATACTGCTTTAACCCACATGTAGACCACATTGGACCAGGTCTGAATCAAAAACCATTTTGCCTAGAACTGTAAAAATAAATAGATAAATAAATCTTCACAGATCTGAAGTCTTTATCTTCTCAGGGTTCATCTAGTCCTGACTGGACGAGTTTAAGATACAGTGGTCTTTCATCTAGACCTGGTCTGATGGGAAAAACAAATATAAGCTACTTTTATTTTTCACACAAATAACAAAAAGGTTTTAAAACAGCGTTAACATCCTTTCACAAGCCGCTCAGTATTGACATTAATGTTTCCCTTAGTTTTCCCCTTAACTTCCAAAATCGTAAGCTTTAACTGTTTTTGACATGGGTCATAATCAGGCGGCAAAAATCTATCAACAACTCAGGCTTGCACGCGCACAGGTGTCAACGTGTGCTGATCGCAGACAGGTGAGGTCGCTTACCTGTTTCGCTCCGACCTGGAGGAACAAACCAAAACCTCAGTAGTCGTGGAGCTGCAGCCCTCCTCACAGGATAATACTCAGATGTGGGTCTTCGTTTTTAAAATAAAAAAAAAAAAGTCAGCGGTTACAGTCCCGGTTTAAACCTCCACAAACTGCGACATGTTGTAGGTTTCCTCCGCAGTCAGCCGTCGGTCCCCCTCGGCCATTTATACCAGGAGAAGCCCGCCGCTGCCTCAGTAAATTCACCGCGAGACAACCGTCGGTTCCGCTGTTTTTCCCGCTCCACTCGGTTAAAAAGTTTAACTTTCCCCCGAGTGAAATGATAAAAATGTCTTCTTCCTCAGAGGAGACTGGAAAAGCAGTTTTCTGCCGGCAGATACACGGTGTCTCCCCCCTCCTCCGATGCCTACCGCCGTCCGTCTCTGTGTAATCAGATGCTGCTCACCACAATATCCATTCATCCTATTACTGAGTTTAACCCTTCACTGTCTGCTGCGCGGCTTTATGCTGCCTTACAGGACCGTCGGAAAAACCGCTACTGCAACCTGGAAAAACACACACATTGCTAAAAGGTGTAAACAAATCAAGTGTGTGACGTGACAAATGTTCCTTACTGGTTATCTGATGATTAAACACTATAAATGATTACATAGATAAATAATACATTGATTAATATTGCTAAAATAGATTAATTCACAGCAGCTACATGCACCATTGACTGTATCAAGCCATTTGTACATCATTTGGGGAAAACATGATAGTTTCCCCCTCATCCCGAGCCTGCATCATATTTTGAATATAACTGTTGTCTGTCTCCATCATTCTGAAAACACAACACAACAAATATTAACAATGACTTATTTTCACTACTGCCGCATAAAAAGAGGCTAAAATTGTCTGATGTTTCTATTTTGAATTTACATGACATAGGTGGGGAATAAATTTGGCATAAACAACATCACTAATCTTGACACCTATTTTTGTTACACTATGCTGGAGTAAACAGATTTAATGTATAGATGACAAATCTACATTTCAATCCATACCATAATAATATGTGCTGCTCTAACTGAGCAGACATAGAGCCACAACAAGGACAAGCAAATGTCTTCAATACTCTCAACTGAATATTAGACCAACAGAAGAACATTTACTCTAATGATATTAAAAGAATAAATGAAAAGCATTTGTGAATATCTTCCGGACATTTAAAACTTTCAGACATTTATAAATCAATTTTCTATTTGTGAAGCGAAAAAAGTGAAACAAGTGAAGTGAAACATTAAAAAATCTTCTTTTTTTTTTTATACAAACAGCGCCATCCTCAGGACTGCAACATACCACAAAACCACACTGATCAGGTAAAACTTCAGTTCATGCAGGAACTTTTTCTGAAATCATCTTGGTCAAAGAAGGTTTCACATAAACAGGTCTAAAGTTTCTTTTTTAATATACTCTTCAGTCTCTCCTTGTAGCTGTTTATCATTAGTTTAACACAACAAAGCCATGTCAGAAACAGACACCTGGAAACTTCAGATTTCATTTTAATTCAAGATAAAGGACTTAATTCTTTACAGAAAAATAAATGAAATTAATGAAAGCTGGACCTGTATTTATCAAACTTGTAAAGTATAAACTTTAAAGTTGTTGGCTGCGTTTGAGCAATGAGACACATTGATGAAGCGGCTTCCTCCTACTTACAGCCGAGTGTAAAAGTCACATTTTAAGAAGAACTCTGATTTGATCACACGAAGGAAAAGACAATCAGAGATACACACTGACCCCACATCTGCTATATTCTGTCATCTGCCTTCAATTACAATTACAATTACTTCAATACAATTACTTCAGTGGTCAATTATTATGCAAGAACACAAGTTTATTTGTCTGAAACTTTTAAATCTCTTGGAATTTAACAACAATCCTAATATATTTCCAATTTATAAATATATAAACAAGGATGAAATGAAAGGAAATAGGTTGAAATGGAGATAAAATTCAGCTGCGCTGTTGGTAGACGAGGTATGTCAGAGAGAAATCATTTAATCAGATGAATTTAGTTCCACACTGACTGTAAATAAAATCCATGTCAGATTTATTCTAGCTGTTGGTTTGCAGTCCTGATAAATGCCAAAAAAATAAATAAAAATAAGAAGTGGAGTAACATACTATCAAATGTTCAAACACAAAAGATATAGACCGGATACAACATTCAAAATATTCAATAAATAAACCTTGATCAAATACAAAGGTTATTGAGGATCTGCTTTTAACCATCTTCACATTTTTCAGTCAAAAGAAGTTTTTTTGTGAAATTTTGCTCTTATCTTTAACTCAAGTTAAAAATTTGAAATTCAAAAATGGACCCATTCTTCATGTTGAACTCATGGTGTTCGTCTAAAGGACATTTCAGCAGGACTAAGGCAGTTGTGTTGGCAGTCGGGGGGCTTTGGGGGGCCACAACAGTCCGGATTCAGAAGAGTCAGTGGGTGAAGCCGGACTCCCCTCGACGCCTCACCCCTCCTCTGCTAGCAGCGATCTGAAGTTCTTCAGCTCTCGGATGCTCGTGGAAATCCTGCGGGACATTTCGAGAGCAGTTACATCGTACAGCAACAGACATGTTCTTTCTGCCACTGACTCCAGTTTTTCTGGGAGTATTAAGAGCAGACCGGCTGCTCTGACGGTCCTTGAAAATAAAACCAGCTTTTTTGACAGATGGTACAAATCATCATATGATGGCGACAGACTCTCACCTTCCAAAGGCATTGAGCAGAGAGACGATCTCCTGCCGGCTGAGCTGGAAACTGGGTCGTCGGTTGCTTGAAGTGGGCAGAGCTTCAATCTGGCGCTCGGAAAACAAAATCTTAAGCGCAGTACCTAATCCCTGAGTCTGATGACAAGAGAGAGAGAGATCAAAACAAAGAGCAATTGTACTTTGCAATACATACTGTACATATAATGGTCTGGTTGCCATTAAAGCATCATTTAAGAATGTCGCTCCTTTTCTTTGACTTTATTAAACATCACCCTGGTGTCACCCTGTTACTCATCAAATAAATAAACACAGGGAATATTTAAAGAAAAGTGACATTTGATTCTGAGTCTTCAAACAGTTTTGGTAATCCTGAAAAAGAAAATGGACAAGACATCTATATTTGAAGCTCATAAGAGACTGTGAGCGGTGGATAAACAGAAGTAGTACAAGTGCAGTTGGTTGTCATCACCACTCTCCCTCCGACACAAATCTCAGTCTCAATGAATCTCTTAAACCAAGTGTTTACATTATATTCGCTGTTTGTCCTGCCGATGAGATTTCTGAAAACTTTCTGAAAACCACTTCATCTCTCCATCCCTGTTTGTTTCTTCCTTCAAGCACACAAGCATCAAAGCTTTGTGACTAGTCCTCTCTCTCTCTCTCCTCATTTTCTCCTCCCTGTCCTCTCTCTTCACCCCATCAGACCTCTCGCTCTCCCTCTCCTGGCTGACTACGCCTCGTTCCAGATGTTATGAATCTGGATCTTCATCCTCCAGGAGTCCCAGCCTCCTCCTCCTCACCTTCTGTGTGTTTGTTTCCTTCCCAACTCACCTGCAGTTTCCCCCACAGTCGACACTTGAAGCAGCCGACACAGTCCATGATCCTGGAGATGTTGAGGAAGGCCAGTCTGATGTCGTCCTGGTGTGAACACACAGCACAGGAAAACACACTCATGTCACTCTGATGGACAAAGAAATGTCCAGAAAACCAGGCAAGAGCAGGGTGTGTTGTGTCACTTTATCCCTTTCGCAATCAGTATTCACTTCTCCATGTGGCAACAACAAATCACAGTTTGAGTCAAAGTTTGCACAAAATCTTAGTAACTCACTTTAAACACCTTCTGGTACCACTTTACAATAATACTACCCTTATAGATATAAACCATATAAACCATAAATCCTTTATAATGGTAGTCGTATTGTAACGTGGAACCTTCTTTTCTAAAAATGTTTTACAAGAAGAAAAAAAGCACCAAACATGAAGAACATCACGTCTTTCAATCAATATAAAAATATCTGTGATATCACTTTAAAAAATCTGGTGCTCATTCAACTAGTACAGTGCAAAGGTGAACCTGATGAGTGTTTAGTTTCAGTACAAACTTAAAAGGAGTGTGAACTGGGATGAGTAGATGATGACCGAATATTATACTGTATTATTATAGTGAATTTTGAACATTAGAAAACATTAGAAAACATTTCTACAGCAGTTCCAATGAGAAGGAGGCGACAAAGACAGGCGATATACTGAGGCTGAATCGCTTTCCTCATGTCTTCGTGTCTGCTGCCTGTTCCAGGAAATGATGGAAAACAACTGAGTTTTAAATGGCCGCTGACCTTCAGTTTGGCTGCTTCCTTTTCATCACCAGCGAACAGAGAAGTCTCGTCAAAGTGCAGAGGGAAAGATCTGGAAGAGTGAAGGTGGAGAGGACGGTCACAACATTTATGAGTACCGCATGTATCTGTATTTATGTAGACAGAACAACATCAGCAGAGGGACTTTTGGATGGAGAACACTAACTGTGGGCATCAGGCCTCAGACTGACCTGGCCAGCTGCAGGATCTGCAGCAGCAGCTCTTTGTGCTTCTGGTCCTCTTCAGGTCTGCCGGTGTACAGCCGGAAGGACGGCTGCTGGAAGAACGGCAGGGCTTTGGCCAACGCTCGCAGCTCTATCAGGTACAGGAAGTAGAGGTTGCGGAGCCTCTTGGGGCCCTCGCCGGCCGTCAGCTCCGAGTCGAAACGCTTCCTGAACTCCGACACGTTGTGACCCCACTTCTTCTGAAACCAGCTGTCTGAAGATAAGAAAGAGAGAGAGAGGAGAGTTTATAGGACTGGAACCAAAGAACACAACTGAGTCAAAGCTGATTATATTTGTAATAAATACAATAAATACCCTTATTGGTTTTTGAACAACATGGGAGGATTGATATCAGTGCCTGTGTGTTAAAGGACAGGTTCACAGTTCTTCAAATGTGTCTCAAAAGAATCGTCAGGTGTCAATAAGAACGTTATAAACACTTTTTCCTTATTGTTGAATTTCGCATGTGAGCCAGGTAATTTTGTTTTTCCATTATTTTCCCAACGATTTTTGAAGACGCGTTTATTTTTAAATAATTTACAGTAAAATCCCTGCAGCTCCTTATTGCTCTGAGTGCATGGTGATAACTGAAGGAGATGCAGATGAGCAAATTAACATTGTTATCAACTCACATCAAGATTTTAGTGTGAAAATCAACCTTAAACAATAAAAGGGAGCAGGACGTGCTTCCTTCTAGCCTTTTTCCAAGCAAATTCCAACTCTCAAATCCAGTAAAAGAAGGAGAATAAATGCCTGAGTGGGTCAGAGAGGGTTACTGCAGGTGTTTGTGTCTCAC